TATTAACACCGTTGAATTTCATCCAGCTCAGTGGTCTAGAATTTAAGTGTTCAGGCATGAGACCAAAGGTCCTGAGTTCGAGTTGTTTCGGTGTGGTATCGTGGATTAGCACTGGTGAGGAGTCACATACTGTTAGGTCCCGATAAACATAATGAATGGTAACTTTGGGATCCTTTTATGGACCAATACTAAACGTATATTTTTATCGTATAATTGTTAAATAACTAAACTATACATATTCATATTCCTCTTATTATAAACTTTATTTTGACCTATGAACCATTATTATACGTTTTATCATTCTTGAATTATGCCCTGTCTATTAGTCACTGCCACCCACATTCACAGCCACATTTGGCCAAATTTTGTACAAATGTTATTTTCTATTTTATGTTACGTTGTGGTCTGTTTGATTGGTATGTAAACTCAGTATGTTTGAAATATAAGGATTCATATTACAGAGGCTGAGACTGGTGTTCTGGACTTAACTGGCTGGGCTAGGCGGAAAGCAGAACCAATGAGGACTCTAGGCTGCTCGTACGCTTTTTACGCGTCCTTGGTCCGATCGATAATTCTCTGCTTCTGAATGGCGGCTTTGGGCTATAACACATACTAGAACGAAGCGGCTATCCACTACTTCCAGTTTTTCAATGATGATCTAGCTTTAATCGACTCATGAATTCAGCTATTAGAATTACTACAATCTCCACAAACCCCCATTCTAATCATAACTTTATTGTTAATCAACGTATATATAGATTACAAATTAATGAATTACTCACTAACTTTTAGTGTGTAAGTTAAAAATAAAGTATAAACATTCAATAATGATCATTTTTTACAAAACAATATATAATCTATCTTTTAGGAACTTCAAACATACCATTAGCAAATAGTAAACGTATTCGATAATGAATTCCATTGTTGGTTTTTTCACCCTCCGGTTCCTATAATAATTAAGGAAATAGGTCGGTTAATAAATGACAGTAAAAAAAAGGTTACTTATTACTGTCCTCTAGTATTACTGCTTAACTGACGATAAGTGAATGACCTATATCAACAATATATATAATAGTGAATTTTATTGAATAAGCCGACCAATAATTTAATGATCAATTATTTTATCTTCTGTTACTTATTTATTATTGGGTATCATATTACTAATTCATAATAATGAGTAGTTATCATTTGGTAGGATATTAATTGATTCAAGCGAATGATTGTTTAAAGATCCCTATCATATTAAAAGACTAATATTTGAATAAAGAATATTCTTTTCAATAAATTCTGTTCAGGTTCTACAATTATATATTCAAATTAATGATCCGAAAAATGATCAGATTAAGGGTAAACTGCATCGTTTAAAGTTAAAGCATGTGAATTTAGAATTGTTAAATAAAATAGGACGAAGTGGTGCATGTCCTGGATTCCACTGCTAGTCACTATCCATCCAAGCTTAGAATGCTTGTGAATTAAGGCAATACTCACAGTATGAACATATACCAATAAGAGACTGATCAATTTCAGACCTAAACATCAATGGGAAAATTCAAATAAATAATACCGCGTGAATTTAAAATAGAATAAAGTTGTTCATGTTGATATGACTCATATAGAATGGTAACATGGATCAGCTTATATGTTAAATGAAAATTTTAAGATCCATAATCAGAATAAATATGGATCAGATAGGGAGACAGAAATAATAGTGTAATTACAATTCTGTCAAATGTTTAATGAGTTACTATCTCACAACAGACCTGGTTGAACTCCACTGGTGACGGCTTCTTACTAGAACTCCAGGAGTTTTTCCTGAAGTCAGTCACTAGTGAGCAGTTGATTATTATTAGAATGGGTCTTGTGGAGAGTTTTAGAAATTTCACAGATTGAAATCATGAGTCGATTGAAGCTAGACCACCATGGAAAACCTGGAAGCACTGGACGGCCGTTTCGTCCTAGTATGGGACTCCTCAGCAGACCATGTTGTGTGAAATATTAGTAAGACATTGTAAGGTGGGATGAATGCGAAGTAAATGAATCATGTATTGGGGAGATGAATAATGACGTTTAACTAATAATAGTAATAATAATAATAATAATACAAAGATTTGTGTATAAAGATAACAGAGACTGTAAAAGGTCATAAGTACAATAGTCAAATTAGGTCATTAAACAGCTAAGTTTACTATTGATTATTTAGCCTTGAGGTTGGTCAGGGAAGAAGTGGTTGAAGATATTTCTTTTGTACACACAGCTCAGGTTTCTTCACCCGAATGACTACTGCTTCAGCCACTTGAAGGACTTTAAGTGCTTGGATTGGTTTATACTGGAACTATGTAAAATCTAACAATTTTAAATGATACACAATTATACTTGGTCATATGTGATTTACAACTAAATGCCTAGCCAAATGAATCTGTTCCTAATTATTTGTGAAAATTAATTCGTTATTAAAGGAAATTACTATGAAAATAACCGTGAACAAATAAAGGAATAATTGGTGAGACTATAATTTTTGGACGACCTTTGAGCAACCCTTAACTGACCTTGAAAATGTTCATCTACTAACTAGAACTAAATGAGGAATATAAAGGAATGTGAGGAATTAGAATTATGGTTTACAATAGATGGTTAAGTTTAGGAATTAGATTTATAGTCTTCATCACGAACTGACATCAGCTATAATACCGAGATAGTATTTAGCTAAATGAATAAATGAATTTCGCGCTGAAATTCGAAACCTGCTATCTTAAATGTGATTGGTTCGTTCATAAATTATAGCCTTGCTGTCTTAACATAGTTTCTTATTTCATACGATTATGATTGTTATTCGATTCGATGTAGATCAAAAGCCTATGCTCTCAAATAATATTCCAAGATCATTCATTAGTAAACATCCAAACTAAATAAATAAATGAAAGTTCTCATTGATCGCTAATGTTAGGGTCATGGTAAACTGGAACTCCACCTAGAGCCCCTCTGGGGCTACTGTCGGTCCCAAGTCCGGATAAAGGAGGAGTGTTGGGCACGGGGTTAGCGACCCCATCCCATAGAAAACTAACTCGCTGAAAAAACGATAACCAGAAAAAAGTAATTCAAACCAAGTAAGTAAGTAAGTAAACTGGAACTTGGAACAGAGGAAGGCTGGGATTTAAGTGACTCAAGAAAGAAGAAACTGATTGCAGAAGTTGATTTTATTTAACTGATCCCACGTGGGGAATCGTGAATGCGGACTGGTGAGTAGTCCTGTACTAGGACGAAACAGTCGTCCAGTGATTCTAAGTGTTCAGTAGTGATCTAGGTTTGACTGACTCATGAATTCAACTGTTAAAATACTACAATCTTCATAAATCCTCATTCTAATTTGCCACTTAGTCAACCAATATCATGTAACAAAAATAGTGAAAATGCAAAAATATGTTTTTACATAGAATCGCTACTAAATAATTGTCACATTTTATACTAAACGATAATGAAACCAAATTAATACAAAAAAATATTAGTATTAGGAGTTTTGTAGATATTATAGTAATTTTAATAGTTGAGATCATGAGTCAATTGGAGCTAGAGCACCATTGAAAACCTGGAAGCACTGAACGACCGTTTCGTTCTATTGTGCATATCGTGGATTCGCTTTGCTAAGGAGTCCAACAATAGGACAAAAAGGCCGTCCAATGCTTTCAAGTTTTCCATGGTGATCTAGCTTCAATTGACTCATGATCTCAACTATTTTAAAAAGTATATATTATACTGAACAAAATATCACACTGAGTGAAAACGTGATCTCACATTCCTATCCCATCTCATCAGTTAATATTATTCTTCTATCATAATTCATATCATTCACTGAGTTGTAGTAAAGTTTCTATAATATTAAACAAATTATTCAATTGATAAACTAGAACTTCATCAAAATTCATCTACCTAAGCTACAAATCTTCACCATTACCTTAAACAAGCATCTCACCACCACCTTAGATCTTTGATCAACACCTAGAAAACTCTATTGAGAATTCAGTTATGTAACCTTTCAATTGTTTGTTTTATTTTTAATAAAATAACCTTTTTTTCCCTTTCAACATTAATTTAATACAAATCAGGTTTCTTCTCTCTGTCTCTCTCTTCAAATTGCGTGTTAAGTTTATTAAAATGTATTCTCTTATCCTGCTGTGATTTATATTTGTGCTAGTCAAATTGAATATTTAGAAAATCTATTATATCAATTGAATAGTTTCAACTCAATATTAAGATGAATTGATTGATTGAAATGAATTAAGCCGATACATCGGTAGATATATAGATATCGATTGGCCCCAAAATGCCCTGGTACGGCCGAGAGTGGGGAAAGCCCTCCCTCCCTCTCGAAATGTTCTTACATGGCCACACGTATATAGCCTCTGTCAGGGAAGTTCTACTCACTGCCTCCTCGCACCACGGGTGTTGTTTCCGAAAATGAGAGGATGAAAAGCGAATGTCCAGCGCTTTAACCGGATTCCAAACCAATGGTGCACATGGGCTCCAGTATCCTGAAGGAACAAATGGCGTATGAACCAATTGTTGGTCACCGGCTTCCATGGGACTGCATCTCCTTACGATGCTCCACTGCCTTGTGGGTCAGACCTTCAGGTCGAAGGCTCGGGGCACCCGAGCAGTATCACAGCCCTCATACATATCAAATGAGATCTGTGTGGCGCATATGTATTTGGTGTTTGTACCAATATCTATGTGTTAAAATAATAATAAAAAAAAGTTTGAGATGATGGACTGATATTTTGCAAATTAAGTATAGACTATATGATTCTCATATTTTAATGAGATGATCTGAAATTTCGTGTTAAATACATTCGATTGTCCCCACTCGTGTTTTTGTTTACTACACTAGCTCTAAGAAGTTCCATACTAGAACAAACCAAGTATTCAGTACTTCTTAGTTTCTAATAGATATTTAACTTAAATTAGTTCATGATTATAATTATAAAAGTAGTCAACAATTCACTTACTTTATCTTTTTCTACGAAATCAATAAATGCAGCACGTTCTACTTCAATTGGATGTCTATTTTGATCATATAAAGCAATAATAAAATGAAAAAAATTGCTTTTACGTAAATTATTCGGTGGTTGTTTCTCGAAACGAGCCCATGCTACTTCCATTCGTGGTGTACAATGTGTATATCTATATGGATGAAAATGAGAACATTTCAATAACAAAAAGAAAACGGAAAAGACTATATTGAATATATTCATAATCATTGTTACTTAAGATCAGTAGTTTATGAGATGATCAAGCAAATCTATATTCGAAGTGATTTTCCTTTTAATGGTATCACGTTTATCTTATAAGACATTATACAATAAAGGCAAATAGTTTACTTTGTAAAATTCAGTAATTAAACATTAGGTGATTACAAAATGAATGTTGATTGAAAATAAGTAAGAAAATTGACATATATCCAATGTAGGACTTTGTAGAGATAATAAAAATTTCATAGATTCTAAATTGTAAATTGATCATACTTAGACTCTTATTGAAAACTATTGAAGTATAAGACTTTCGTTTCATCTTATTTCACGAATTTTCAAAATTTTCAAATTTTTCAAAAAACAGTGCGCATCTACGAGCCTGCCTCACGAGATTCGTACCCGGGACCTATCGGTCTTGCGCCAGGCGCTTAACCAACTAGACCACTAAGCCGTCATCCGACGGTGTTAATGTTTAACTTCAACTAATCCACAAATTTGAGCGACACATCCACCATTGTCATCAGTGATTTCCTATCTCACAACTGACCCAGTTGAACTCCACTAGTCACTGCTTCTCACTAGAACTCCAGAATATACCTCTTGAAGCCAGTCACTAGTGAGCATATGTTGATTAGTATCAGAAGGGTTTTTGTGGAGATTGTAGTAATTTCAACAGTTGAGATCATGAGTCAACTGAAGCTAGACCACCATGGAATATTTGTCTTATGAATTGAAATACTAACTATAAAACCTCTTCATTTAACTAACAGAAGAGCCGTTCAACCGTAATTTTGTATAATACTTTAAACATTCAGCACATTATAAACTTATTTCTTTGACTTCAAATCAAAATTTTCACTGATCCTAAAGAATATGTTAATCTGGAACATTTCTTATTTTTGGAAACGAAAAAAAAACTTGGATAAATCTCATTAAGGATGATGAAAGTACTGATTATGATTATTATTATTATTATTACTTAATTATTACAAAGGTGACGATAATCACAGACTGATTTCAACGTGTGACTGGTCATTCAAAAACCAGTTGACATTAGATTGCTTAATCATCTATGTTTGAATACTTCACACCCTAACAGGGTATCAAAAACTCAAAATTTTCATATCTTCTTCTTCTCCTTCTTCTTCTTCTGATGATGATGATGTTAATTAAACCGCTGATTCAATGCCTAGTAAATATATTAAACTGCAATATATTCTGAGGGGGGTAGGGATATATATATTCATACATATATCTTTGATCACAGTAATTTTAATCCTCAATTTCGAAAAAAAACATAATAGAGAGAAAGAGAGAAGAGAATAAATGATAGGTTATCTATGTTTCCCACCCCACCCCACCACCCCCAAAAAAAACTTGGTGATAATAATTACTTTAAGGAGAGAAAAGAAAAAATGAAACGGTGTATGATAGTTACCGATATCAATTTCATTCTTATTTTGTACACTATATGATTAATTCACTGAGAGAGAATGAAATTTTTTTTAAAAAAAAAATAAAAATATACGTATTTATCTACAAAAAAAAAATTGAAATGATCCCACCACTGGAAACAAGTTCATAGTCACAGTAACTTTTTAGAGATGATGACGTAATCATTTGGAGTTTAATTACATTGTAAAATTTCTCTTTTGATGATATACCGAAAAGTAAACTCACAGAGTCACTTATACACAATCATCTTAATAATAGTTAGACAGGTGAAGTGAATAAAATAATAATGGTGTTAAAAAAAAAGATGAAAAAACCTGCAATCCGGAAGTGTTCACCTCTATAATTACATAATAAATAATGACTAGCTTAAAGATCTAAAAAAAAAAGAATATTTTCCATCTTTCATATTATCACATAGAAACTGTATAAATTATACTTGGTGTTTTTTTACTTGTATCTTCCTATTGTTATTTGGGACTGTAATTGATTAGTCTCTTGTTGGCATATGTGCATCCTGTGTGCATTGCCTTGATATAGCCTTAAGTCGCAAGTTTTTTTTAAGCAAAGATGGATAGTGGCTAGCAGTGGAATCCAGGACGCGTGTTTCGTTCTATTCGGAACTCGTCAGCTGGATGTACCTACATCGCAGAGTTGATATTCACTTCGGTACTCGAACCCAGTATTGTTCACCTCAAACGCCATCGCATTGTCCACTTAGCTACTGAATCCTGATAGCTACCTGCTTGTGCAATAGAGTGAAGCTTAAATTCACTTGGTGTTGTTTTACTTGAATCTTCCCATTGATATTTATGACTGTAATTGATCAGTCTTTTGTTGGCATATGTGCATCCTGTGCGCATTGCTTTGATGTAGCCTTAAGTTACAAGCTTTTTAATAAATTATATTTTTAAAGCTGTTATATTGAATATAACTATGGAATCTATTATAAAGACTGAGGCATTAACTTACGTATACTATATTGAGTGAAGTTTACACTAGACATACATGATATTTGTCAATACGTAAAGATCAATTAATTGTAAACTTATCAGTTGTATGACTTTGATTCTAACAGACTAGAGAATATCAGTTCTTTCAAACTTTCGATTATCTCTTACTGACGAGTGATATCAAACACGAAATCTAAATTAAATAGCCTATCCTAACGACTAGTTTCAATTATCTAACTTTTTAACATAGTGCAAATCATGCCTAGTTACTTAGACTAGTGGTTATATTGCAATTTATTCAATATAATCTGACTGTCACTAAAAGAGTAGGTGAAGATAAAAGTGGTCACTACCTAGTGATCAATCATTTATAGATTACGCTACACTTTATTAACTGAATGAAATTGATAATATGAATATGTGGATTTCTATTCATCGAATCAAATGGTATCATACTCATTATCAGGACAAAAAGTCCTGACTTCCATTTTATATATGTGGTAGTAAGTGTTTGTTATGAAGAATTTTTTTAATTAAAATAAAGTAACTATTCAGTGCACCCCCAGTTTTCTGTAATTCTCATAATTATATCAATTCGTAAGGGAAACTCCCTCTGTATACTTTAGGATCCTGTAAAAATATGCTTACTTCCGATTACAAAAAGATCTTAACTAACTAATTTTTTTAAAAAAAATAGAAAGTTACAAATAGTTGTTACGAAAGAGGAATACAAAATTACCATAGTTTATATCACAAACTGACTTCAGGTAAACAACCATTGAAAATCAAAGAGCATTGGATAACTCTTTTGTCCTAATATAGGACTCATCAGTACATATTCACAACCTCATCAATGGTTGAACCCAAAACCTACAGGTTTTTCTATTTACACTTATTATTTCAAAAAACTGGGTTGATATCCAATAATTTATATTATCTGATTACGATAACATTGTGCAATCATCTTTTGATACTACAAGTGAGTAATTACTTCAAATTCAACATTGTTGAATCCAACATGTCACAGCTTCTGATGACTACACAAAATTCAAAAACCCCTAAATTAACAAAATGTCCAAACAGCATAAGTTGAATCGTTTCTTTTTTTTCTATTTGAGTTGACAGTTTAACAATTATGAAATTAATTAGTTAATTAAAATACATTAAATATGCACTAATTGAGTGATTTACAAACTGTATTTTGTTTTCACAATTGATTGATCACTGGGTGGTGATCAATGTTGTGCGTGTCAAGTCCTTATTTTAATGCAGATCGAATGCTATCGACCATATGGTAATGTCTCTAACTGTGAAGCTGAATGACACGGGATCGAATCCGCCAGGGAGCACCAGTTCCTTTAAGATTACAGGTACACCTTGCTGACGAGTGCCAAGTAGCACGAAACCCGAGTCCAGGGTTTCCTGTCGATTACATCCAACCACCATCTGTATTTTGTTTTCCTTAAAGTTTTAAATGCTCTTAATTCAATATTGTAGAAAGTAGAGGGATATGTAAACACTGGGAAGTAATGAAAAATAACATTAAACAGTGTAATACGCCATACCGTATGATATCAGTCTAATTTAAAATCAGAATATATACAAAGATGGATAGTGGCTAGGAGTGGAATTCAGGATATGCGTTTCATTCTATTTAGAACTCGTCAGCTGAATGTACCTGCACCTCAGAGTTGTTATTCACCCCGGGACTCGAACCCAGCACTGTTCGCGCGTCCTGGATTCCACTGCTAGCCACTATCAATCTTTGCTTATAATGCTTGTGATTTAAGGCTATATCGAGGCAATTCACATAGGACGTATATATGCCAATAAGAGACTGATCAATTTGCAGTCATAAATATCAATTGGAAGATTAAAGTAAACAATACTAAGTGACTTCCGAATTTATACATTTTTCTCATTTCATTTCAAACTCATTATTATTGAGTGAGATCGTGAAAGATAATGAAATGAATTCATCATTTAGATTATGATGATATGGTTTGTAAATAGTGAACTATCTCAGTCATTCGAACACTGACCTTAAATCTAATTTAATGTCTAACCGTCCAATATAAACAACCAAGTGGTATTTCCATCCCTAACGTTCACATACGAACACACACACAGATTATGACCCAAAATTAATTAAATGGACATGTTTTTTTGGTTGCCTAGTATCATTTGAATTACTTGTTCAGCTTGTTGACAAATGTGAAATTCTTTAAAAGAAGTAAACATTCTAATAAATGCAATGAAATAATAAGAACTGTTTTCTTTTAGATAGAGAGGCATGCATAATCATATAACAAATTTTACCTTGTAGGATTTACTAACTGATTCGATGATAAACCTCTATTATTGAACGGAACATGATTATTGATCATTGAACCAGTAGTATTATCAAATAAACATCCAACAACAGAATTGTTATTAGGATTATTATTATTATTACTTGCATTTATTGCACCAACCATTTGATTACTCATTTGAGTTAAATGATGTACTGCAGCAACTGCAGAACATGCAGAAACCATTGAACCATTACGAGTACCATTATTTGTGCTATTATTAGTATTACTATTATTATTAGTTGTATTATGATTACCCAAAGAATTAGGTGATATAGATAAAATATGATTAAAATTAGGATTATTATTATTATTATTTTGTGATTGTGAATTCATAAGACAACCATGTGATTGATTAGGTGTATTAATTAAAAAATTAGACTGATCCGATGGTGAATTAGAACATTCTGGTGAATTTTGATGAGGATTAGGATGATGAAGATGATTAACATTATTCTGCCGATTTTGTTGCTGTTGTTGTTGTTGTTGTTGAGCTATCCATGAACGTACTAAACCAAATTGATTAGTTGGATCTGTTGACATATCTAACATTTCATAATGATCACGTTTCAATTCTGAATGTTGTTGATGTTGATGATGATGAGGTTGCGGTTGCTGTTGTTGTTGTTGTAACATACTGACACAATTAGTTGTAGATAAATGTGTATTAGATTGTGTAAAATAATTTGATGAATTTGATGTTAATTGATTTGATATAGGATATTGTGAATGTTGTTGAATAAATGAAGAAAAATTAGAATTTGTTAAATGTCTATCAACCATATTTGTACATAATTCATTAGGATCACGTGATATTGTCGAAGAGGTAATTGTTCCTAATTGAGTAAATAATTGTGGTGTAATTGATTGATCTAATGAATTATGACTATTATTTGTTTGGATAGTTACATCATGTCCATGTAATGATGCTGCTGCTACTGCTGCTACTGCTGATGATGATGATAATAAATCGATATTTGTGGATAAGTTAGATAAACTCATTGTTGTAGCCATTGAATACTGATAATTAATTATTGCATTATATTCTATTAATAATAATTACTTTTAATTACCTGTAATAAAATGTACGATAAAATAAGTATAAGCGGTAAACAAACAGTTTTATGATGAGATTTGTGAATAGTTCAACTGAATTCGAAGGTGAGTTACGTCATTCATTAAAATAAATCAAAAAAACGGGTATCATTGAAAAGCTTTCATGACTACTAATGTGATCTCACTAGTTTGTACCTACGATATCACCATGGAATAAACTTGAGATTTTTTAAGTTTTACAACAAGAACCAAATTTCTGATCTGAAATCCTTTTCACCTTGAACTAGAATAAAACAACGGCGAGACTAAAATTTATGAACGAATCAATCAAATATAAGATAACAGGTCTCAGATTTTGGCGCAAAATTCACTAATCCATTTAAACAAATAGAGTCTTGGCATTATAGCCGATGTCAGTTCGTAATGAAAACCCGAAATCTAATTCCTAAGCTTAATCGTCAACTGTAAATTACAATCCTAATTCCTCATACAAGTTCATAACCCTCATTTGGTCCTGGTTATTAAGCGGACACTCTCAAGGTCAGTCTAACGTCGCTCAAAGGTCGTCCATAAATTATAGTCTCACCAAATCAATCAATTATAAGCAAAATATCACACTCTGTATTACCAAAGCCAGATCAAATTATCAAAACTAATCATATTTTTACCGTATTCTACTATTTACAGGTTCATATTAACCAACTATTAACTGAATAAGGTTTGTAATTGATCCGTCTCATTTTATTAATGACTTTATTCAATATTATATTTTTGGTACAATATAGAATCCTCAGCATAAAGTATTTCAACAAGTTTCCTTTCTTTATTTCTTCATTTATCCTGACGATAAATATTGAGTGATCACCAGTTAGATGTTAACAGATCAGGAATCAACATGTGAACAATGATTATTTTTTTCAATGCATGCGTTTCCTCTGTGGATTGTCTTGATATTGGCCACTTGGTCATGCCTTTTTGAAGTATATATGTCGTAACAGATGCAAACGTTCACCACTTTTAACGTATAACATTGTCAAATTCATCAATACATGCTTTATTTCGGCCTTTGTAAAATATCATAATTATGGACTTATAACTGTAGAGCCTAATGATGAAGTTATTGAAAACAATTATTCGCTCGAATCTTTTTCCTTTTTAATCAAGTTGAATAGTATTTGACATTGAAATCCAGGATAAGCGCTATAACCTACTTGGGATACTAGTTGTCCTATTACTGAGGCATTCCGTATCCTAAACAAAACTGATCATTTGTAATCGTTAACATTAGCGATAGAAATACATAAAATCTCACAAATAAAATTCATAATCGTTGTACACGATAGTGACTAGCTGGACTCAATATCTCGGTGGATAACGAGGTGAGTGTACGAAACGATAGGTACTGGCTTCGAGTCTCAGAATGAACATCAACAAAAGGATGTACAGATACGTAACACTGACCAGTCGCAAGTGGGGCGAAACACTCATTCTAAATTCCACTGCTAGCCACTATTCAACTTTACTAAGAATATACTTACTAAGAAAGAAATACGTTATAACGTAAAAAGTTGGAAATTAAAAAGAAAAGTTTAGGACAGAAATACGTTGTGTTAACTAACAAAGTAATCGATGTATATCTTCAAAATAACGGCAATAACTCATCACTTCGCTTTGAGCCCTGGTTACTGCAAAAGAGTTATTCAGTACAAATCAAGGAAGATTGGTTTAAGCAAGTAATACAGGTGCATGATACATGTACAATGAACTTAGATTTGAAGCAAGCATTTAAGATACTGTTATAACGGGACGGATATTGATAGAGTTGGGACTTTCGGAAGTATTTCTTCCATTGTTACCACCCATATTTATACTGCATAATTATTACAATTGCCCCCAAATGCCCTGTTAAGGTCAAGGGTGTGGAGAGTCAGCTATCTCTATCTAAATGCTCTCACATCGCCATGCTTATACACACGCTCCTACAGAAGTCCTACTAACTGCCTTCTCGAGGCAGTAGGTGTTCATCACGAAATTCAGAGGACAAAAAGTGAATATCCAGAGCTTTAAGTGGGTTAGTGGATATGAAGGATTCACTTAGAGGAGTGTGAAAACCCTCATTCCAAACCAATGGCGAATATGGGCACCAGGAACCTGAGGGAACAAATGGTGTACGAACCAATTGTTGATCGTCGACCACCACGTGACTGTATTTCCTGACGTTTCTCCACTGCCTTGTGGATCAGACTTTAGGTCGAAGGCTCTAGGCGTGGCTCCCGAAGAAAACCATCTGTTTCAGTTTGGGCACTCGGGCAGTATCACAACCGTCACACACATCAATGATAACTACCACTGGCCCCATTGTTATTGTGTGACGCATATATGCTTGCTGCCATCTTGAACCAATATTTATGTGTTCAAATAAACAAATACATAAATCTAGTGTGAAACTCTTCTTTAGTGTGTAATAACAATTTAAACTAGGGATCAGATACATAAACATCAGATCAAACATAGAAATTCGTTTTGATCAATTTTCTATATTATATGCTTAATGTTAAAATGTCATTGTGAAGGAATGTTCATTTTAGACATTTTGCTGTTGGGTCAATTATATATTCTGTTTAAGAGAATAAATGTTTTCAAAACGAAGGCTAACAAGTCATTCTCGTTCAATAACTGCTCTCTATACAAAGAAACGTTTTATAATCTATCAATTATCTTTAACTAAAATCTGGATATCACTAAATATTTATTATGACCATTGTGAATACTAGAGAAGATCAAGTCAATGACAATGATAGAAAGGTACTCATGTAATGAACAAGAACACAGTTGGGGACAATCAATCTATATTAACACGAAAATTACAGAGTTCTTTGTAAAAAATCATACGTTCGATAATTCATTTGCAAATCTTCCATCAACTGTCTCAAACTTCATCGTTATTTTATTGCCATAATAATTACTGTTTGTTCGCGTCCTTTTCGATTTTATCTTCCCAACATTCTACTGTCAAACATTCCACTTCTGATTGGTTTTTATATACCATTTATGTAGATATAAGTAGCATACACCATAATCGATTTATAAGTACTCTATTACTTTAATCAAGTTATTATTCTGTAAAATATTAAACTTGAGGAATTTACCTGAACTAATTTCATTGTCAAATTGTACACGTATATCGTTAAGTTCTAACTTTAGAAAAGTCTATGCTTTGCGTTTTAATGGTTTATCTAGAATTAAAGTGTCAAAAAATCTTTTTTTTTCTTTTCACTTCAACTATTAAACTTGTTAACAACCTAAAGATGTTCCCGAAATAATCAATATTTTCAGTTGCCAACTATGTAACAAAAAATCACTGATTTCACTTCGAAATGATTCTTCGTTATTAACTGTTGATGTATTTTTATATATTGACAGAAATAAATTTAAATTCACTTAGTACTGTTTACTTGAATTTTCGCACTGATGTTTAGGACTGTAATCGATCAGTCTCTTATTGATAGATGTGCATCCTGTATGGATTGCTTCGATATTGTCTTAATTCACAAGGATTCTAAGCTTGGATGAATAGTGGCTATCGGTAGAATCCAAGACATCCGTTTCGTTTCATCTACAAGTCGTCAACTGAATCTACTTGCATCCTAAAGTTGATGTACACTATCGGACTTCAATCCAATACCGTTCACTTCAAATGTCATCGCGTTATTCACTTAGCTACCGAATTTAGATAGCCAATGGCTTGTGTAGTGGAGTGAAGTTTAAATTCATCTAGTATTGTGGCAAATCATTATCAGGACTCAATAGCTAAATGGCGTTTGAAGCGAACGGTACTGGGTTTGATTCCCAAAGTGAATATCAACTCTGAGATACAAGTACATCTAGCTGACAAGTTTCAAATAGGATGAAACAAATGTTCTGGATTCCACTAATAGCCACTATCTATTTTTGCTTAAAAATCAGTCTAGTTATATTAAAAGTATTAGAAAAGTGAATTATACAATTTATTGACTGATTAGTTATTGTATTTTCTTTCTTTATTAAATATTATTTCAGTTATCTAAATGTGATATCTAATATGAACTAGTTGTGAAATGATTATAATAATAAATAAGATGAAAATATATGACTATATACTATGATTTTCAATTTTAGGTTATGGAGATTGTTGAATTTCAATAAAATAATAAGCTGATCAATGTTAGTCCGTTATTGAAAATCTAGAAGCACTGAATGACCATTTCATCCTAGTATAGGACTCCTCAATAGTGCACATCCATTCGATTCCAGAAGTTTTAGTCTTGCATGTGAGATTGTGAGTGTTTACTATTAAGGAATCCCATATTCGAACAAAAAAACAACCATCCAGTGCTTTCAGATTTTCAATAATGGACTAACATTGATCAGTAAATGTTATAAATTGATGATTAGTCCTACTGGAGATTATTTATAATTGTACTTGATCTAGGACATATCATAAAATAACTTCATTGTAACATTTGTAATTATAAACGAAATATTTCCCATCCTACATAAGATGTATGTAAGATATTAACTAGACTGTTTAATTTCCGAGCTTATGACATCAATTATGTTCTGAACAATATTAAAAGCTCTATAACTGGATGATTTTTAATCTTTGAAGGATTCAATAATAAAGTATCCATCTAAATTATAATTCTTTTCCATCATCAAAATTATTGAAAAAATTAATGATAATGATTATTGATTTATGAACTTGTTCTACACAATTTTTGTTCTCTAAAAAGAACAAAACTTCAACTACAAAACAAGATTAAATTATATATAGATCTTCCTACCTGTTTCCATAGACAAGAATATTGGTTATCAATGATCAATAAATTGGATCAAGTTTACTTCAATTTATTTGTCACAAATATATGTCAGTGTATAATGTGTATATATATTTATGAATATAAATAATGAGATCAAGT